TTGCCTGTGGTAGGAAAAAGTTAATGCCTCTCTTGATTTCTAAGCATGAGCTGCAATCCTTGCAATTTCTGTGTTTTCTCAAAAAAGGGAAAATCAGTGTCATGTCTCTGCGTGGCCAGATCTGGAAACACACATGTGAAGTGGGACATTCCCTCTGCTCTCCAGTCATGGGAAGAAATCTTAAGCAAAGATTTACCATTGAGGACCAGGAGTGAAATGGTGTTCACTTCAAATCACTTAAAACATTGCTGGCAACTTCTGTTTATTTGATACCTGGAACATGAAACTTCCATTCATCTTCTAGAATCTCTAGACCATGAACATAGAGCACACTTCCTGTTGTCTACATAGAACTGCAGCTCCCAACATTTCCAAGACAAACATTACAAAGTTCTTCTTGCACAAAGCTGTCAAACTGCAGTTCTCTAGCTGATGTATTAAAACTCCTATAATCATGAAGGGCAAATGTCTGACAATGTTGCTCTAGTCAAGGCTGGCACAGACAGCCACCCAGCTGTCAATGGACTAAATTCTACACAATCTCTAGCAAAGTCATATAAAACGAGATGTCTCAAAATTAATATTTAAGTATATAAATTAAGTAATTGACATGCTATGTAGCAAATGGATGACAGGTTAAAGAGCACAATAAAAAACATTAAAAAGACAAGAAATCAAGACATTACAATATTACTGCCATGTTTATATAAAATAGACAGTGGTCTATTTAGTAGCTAAAGCCATTTAAGAACTTTTGGCTAAAGATTATGCCACTGAATATATCATTTTTGAGACTGGAAGATGGAGCTGCTCAAATTAATCTTTTTGTATAATATTTTCGAATAATATATTATTTTTGTATATACTATATTTTAAGTTTAAACAAAACTATTATCGAAGCAAACGTAGGATATCCTACAGCCTATATTTTATGTGTGTGTATCCTCTCTTCCTTGTCTTTACTCTGTTCTAAATTAAGTACTGAAACTTTACCCACCACATTTGTGATTTATTTATTCTACAATGGCTGCTGTTATTATTGGGGGTCTTTGCATATTTTGCAAAGACCCCTGATAGTGACTGCTCCCCTTGCTGTCAGGTGACCATGGTTTGCAGTGGAAGATGAGTTTTACACCCCTCAACCTGTTCCTCGCGGCTGCCTTCTTCATCCAGTCAGTCATGTCCGATTAAGTGCCAGTAGCTGAAGAGAGGTCCACCTCATGCGCGAAAGTACAACACAGAGGTCTACAGAGACTCCTGAGAGGCTGCGGGATCCTCCATAGACAATTTCTTTCTCCTCTACAGCAGTCACTAGTAATGGCTGGGGGAAACAACAAAACATGGCAGCGGTAGCTCTGACTTTTATAAAGCATAGGAAATATACAGAGCCAAAAGTAGAGAGAGTCGCTTGAAGGATGTTCTCTTCCTGAATTAGTAGACAAGAGGAATTATGATGAAATGTAACAAATTGACAGGTAATGGCACACTCATTAGGGAGTCAGAAGATAACTGCAGCTCTCACTGCCACGATCATACAATTATGATCAGCATAGTCTGATCTGCTCTAGGTTTTGTTTGGAGGAGATAGAGAACATGGAGGCAAATTAACCAGCTACTAGCAACAGGCTCCCACCCTGACTGGCTAACACAAGGCAGAACAATACGAATCATGAAGGATCCTCAAAAGGGAACACCACCATTCAACTACCGACCAATAACCTGCCTCCCCACAACATGGAAACTCTTGTAAGGCATCATAGCCTCCAAGATCCAAGGACATATGAGTCAATATATGAGCAATACTCAGAAGGGGATTGGAAACACCACCAGAGGATCAAAACACCAACTACTGGTAGACCAAGCAGTCACATAGGATTCTAAGGTCAGACAGACCAATCTGTGCACAGCCTGGATTGACTACAAGAAAGCCTAAGACACAATACCACAAACATGGATACTGGAATGCTTGGCTCTCTACAAGGTCAGCAAGACAATAACAGCCTTCATCAAGAACTCAAGGGGAAAGTGGAAAACAACTCTAGAAGCCAATTCCAGGACAATAACTCAAGTGAACATCAAATGTGGCATATACCAAATACTGTTCTGCATAGACCAGATCATCAAGAAGAGTGGATACGGATACAGGTTCAAGAGTGGAGCTACCATCAGCCATCTACTCTACATGGACGACATCAAGCTGTTTGCCAAGAATGATTAGGACATTAACTCACTGATCCACCTAACTAGGATATACAGCAAGGACATCGGAATGTAGTTCAGACTAGAGAAGCGTGGGCGGATGATCTGAAAAAGAGGGAAGATGATCAAGACAGAAGGACTTGAAGTTCCAGAAGGCCAAATAGAACAGCTACTAGTACCGAGAGGTACCACAAACGCATGGCAACCATGAGGAAGAGGCAAGGAGGATAGCAACATCCAAGTACCTCCAAAGAATAAGACAGGTCCTAAAGTCCCAGCTCAAGGGCAAGAACAAGATCGAAGCCATCAACACGTATACCCTAACAGTCATCAGGTACCCAGCTGGAATAATAACCTGGCCAAGAGAAGAACTGGTCATCATGGATGTCAAGACAAGAACACTACTACGAATGGAGGATTCCACCCAAAATCCAGCACCCAGAGACTGTACACCTGCCGGAAGGAAGGAGGGCATTGACTGATGAGTGTCAAGGCCACAGTCCTGGATGAAACAAAGAGCATCCACAAGTACATCACGAAGATGGCTTCCAAAGATGAACTGCTAGGGTAATGCCTGAGACTTCAACAGATAAAGGATGCATAAAAAAGGAGGTTCCTTGGCAAGACAAACCTCTCCATGGGATGTACCACCGGCAGATAGTGGATGTGGCTCACATGTCAAAATCCTACGAGTGGTTGGAAAAGGCAGGATTGAGAGACCGCACTGAGGCACTAATCCTGGCAGAACAGGAACAGGCACTCAGCACCAGATCAATAGAAGCTTGAGTCTACCACACCAGGAAGCAACCAAGGTGCAGACTGTGCAAAGAGGCCTCTGAGACAGTCCAGCACCTAGTAGCCAGATGCAAGATGTTAGCAGGAACAGCATACACAGAGACACAACCAAGTTGCTGGGATTGTGTACCAAAACATCTGCACAGAATATGGATTGGACCTACCTAAGTACAGATGGGAGATACCACAAAGGGTAGTCGAGAATAACAGGGCTAAGATCCTATGGGACTTCAAGATCTAGACAGATAAGCAAGTGCTGGCTAACCAACCCGACATCGTGGTGGTAGACAAGGAACGGAAGACTGCAGTTGTGGTGGATGTGGCGATACCCAGTGACTATAACATCAGGAATAAGGAACATGGAGAAATACCAAGGACTGATAGAAGAACTAGAAAGGATGTGGAAAGTGAAGGCAGTAGTAGTCCCAGTTGTGAAAGGAGCACTCAGGGCTGTGACTCCCAAGTTGGGGGAGTGGCTTCAACAGATTCCAGGTGGGACATATGAGATAGCTCTCCAGAAGAGTGCAGTTCCCTCAAACTGCGCAGAACCCTCAAAATCCCAGGCCTCTGGTAGAGGACCCGAGAATGAGGAATAAACATATCACGCAGGAGGGGTGAGAAAATCAATATATATATAACCTCCAACCACTTCAGCACCATTTGGAGCCTATTACTTTTACCACATATGTGCACTGACACTTTATGAATGACTTCCGGGTTCTGGCACGCATGTATACATATTCATGATACTCAATATGTTTGCACACTGCATCAATGATCGATCGGTTACTATAGTGTTCATTGTGCTTTATTCTGTCAGTACTAATCTGTTTCTTCAACAGCTTTGCACTTGGGGATATGCCTACAGAACTTTTCGTTCTGTTTAGCGATTTGTATATCCGTTATTATGGTGATGGGCACAACACTAACCGGATATTGTAACATCAGGGGGAGGAGTTTGACTCACGCATGCGCAGAGGGGAGCAGTACACGCCAGCACACAGGTGATGGAGTTTTGGTGAGTTCGTTTTTCTTATTTAAGTCAATGTTTTATGATATGCAATTTGTGCCCTGAGGAAAGTTCACAGCTGTGAACTGAAACGTTGACTACTTGGATTAAATGCCTATATTTTTTCACGTTGAAGTCCTTGAGTGCTGGCTCTCTTTTTGGCGGTTATATTTATGTGCAGCTGAACACCGGGCCAAAACTTAGAGGAGAGCTGGAGTGCAAAACTCCCATCGAATTGTGTATGTGTATATATATATATATATATATATATATATATATATATATATATATATATATATATATATATATATATATATATATATATATATATATCTCCAAATATTTCAGCAAAGGAAAGTGGGCACTCACATTGAAAAGTCGGCACGTTTAGTGAAATAATTTTAGCAAATTTATTAGAGTAGCATTAACATTTCGGATCTGTTCTCGATCCTTTCTCAAGAGAGAATGCACCAGTACAATAGAGCATTGTATGTGTATACAGTGTTATATAAATGCTGCATTGTACTGGTGTATGTTGTCTTGAGAAAGGATTGAGAACAGATCCGAAACATTGATGCTACACTAATAAATTTGCTAAAAAAGAATTTCACTAAATAAGACCTGTGAGTGTCCACTTTTCTTTGCTGAAATATTTAGATATATTGGTTCCAGTGTGGTGCACTAAGGCATTACAACATTTCTTTTGGAAAAGTAATTGGGGAACAGTAAGTGCCCTCATCCCTGTACAGGTACTCCTGACTTACCGACTGGGTTTCATTCCTACGACCTGGTCGTAGAACAAATTGGTAAGTCGGTAAGTGAGAAATTAAAGGATTCCCTGCTCTGCTGCGTTCTTCTATGTTCGGGGAAATTTCCGTGAACATAGACGAACGGAATCCCTCTAATTCCCATGACGGCTCGCACTTACCACCCCACGAGAGAGCTGGTCGTAAGTGCGAGCCGTCGCAAAACGAGGTCCACCTGTATTGTGTGTGTGTATGTGTATATACGTGTGTGTGTGTGTGTGTGTGTGTATATATATATATATATATATATATATATATACACACACACACACACACACACACACACACACATATATATATACATACACACAGACAGCTTCCACTACACATGCACTAACACACACCGTGTCCACTTTACACACACTGCAGCTAATACACAAACACACACTGCATCCACAAAACACACACCTTGTATGCACTCTACAAAAACAGCTTCCTTGGTGGCGGGACCTGAGGGTGGGCTTAGAGGCGGACCTCCGGGTGCCCAGACCTTGAGCTGTCTTAGGGCCCCCAAAATTTCTGATTGTGGCCCTGTCATCAGCTAAAATGCTAGGGCAGAGGTAGGCAAAATTAGCCACTCCACATGTGCCGATATCTCCCCTGATGCTTTGACAGCATAATGGCTGTAAGAGCATTAAGGTAACTGTAGCCAACAACATCTGGAGTGCCGAAATTTGCCTATCCCTGTTCCAGGAAATTGCTGTAAGGTTAGCATCTCTACGTACCAAGCAGTGGCAACAAAGTAATAAGTACCTGCACCATTGAGATACTTCAACAGATATAGTAAAACACAAAAGATACAATGAGATAATTAGAATCGTGCACATAACTGTATACTGAAAGTTCTTATTTTAATGTTGATACAGTTGCAAAAAAATATGTTATTAAATTTCCAAATCATAAACTATACTTGAGAGTGAATCTAGTCACCATTTAATAAACCAGTTTGATATCTGTCTTGACACATTGCTTATAACCAAATGTAAAGAATATGTTGATATTTTATTAAATTATTAATAATAACTTTATGATCAAATTAACAAAGATTATATTCACAAAACTTCCATGCTGTTCAATTCTTGTCAATCCAGATAATAGAATTCCTCTAAGGTTTCCTTTATACATCAAACCACACAAACCAAAAAGGTCCCTGCTACATTCAAATAGATGTCAATGATGCAATGAGATTTGCATATCTCCCAAGTTATTAATCAGACCGGACAGTCCTAAGCTCAGGGTCCTTGTTCCGCCATGCAAGTTTGCTTTCAAGTGTCACACTTCATTAGATAAGCGCACTATGCCAAGTGCATTTGTGCATTGAGCTTAGGGGCGATGCAATACTAAAGTGCTCTGCGCATGTAAAGTGGGGCTGGCCAGGTTAAAGTCAGTCTGGCGTGCATTCATTTTCAGACCGCTCCTTTTCTGGACAAGTCTGCCATTTACACTGTCAGCAATGCTACCCCCTAAAGAATCGTCCACCCCTGTCCTGATTTCATACCTTGCATGGATGGGATTATGCAGAATGTTCCAGCTAGAATAATATTATACAAGATCATTTCATTCTACGTTAAATTATGTTATAAATATTTTAAGATCCTTTAAAATAAAACTGAGACAGGGGCAGTATCTGCATACTGAGGGAAACTGAGAACTTTATTATTATTATTTATATAGTGCCAGCAAATTCCATAGCACTGCACAATGGATGGACTAACAGACACTTAATTGTAACCAGATAAATGGACACACAGGAACAGAGGGGTTGAGGGCCCTGCTCAATGAGCTTACATGCTAGAGGGAGTGGGGTAAAGTGACACAAAGGGGTAATGAAATAGGTTGCTAGAAAAGTATTCACTGAGAATATATTAATAAACGATAAAGAGTTGTTGAGGGTAATCAGAACTTTGCAGCTGCCATGTTATTTTTAAAACAGATTTTCTGTGCTTTGAACATCACAGACACTTAAAAGAAAGTGGTTTCTCAAGACGACTTCACAGTTTTTCTGCTAACAAAGAGGGTAGCATTGGCGTCTTAAGTCACTTGGTTGTTACAGTAGTCAGCAGATTTTGATATACATATTCTTGCGTCACCTTCCAGTCTTAGAAGATTTTAGTAACTATTGGCATATACAGGACTAAAAGCAGGCTGAAATGTCTATGTAAAGAACAGTGACTATAATGCACAGAACACGATGCAGAAGTTGGTTTCATCTGTAACCTTAAAGAAAATACTGATTCTATCTAGAGCTTGACCCAAAAAAAGCAGCTTTCATTAAAATGCGTGTAATCGCTAGGGGATTTTTAATCAAACATTTTTTGTTAATTCTGGGTGTCTGGAATACCGAGCACCAAGACTGATTCAGGACAAATCAAAACAGGAACCATATTCTACTGCTATATATTAAGCCTATTAAGGATGAGTGTGTTTATTTTGAGACGGCTGCGATTTAAAATGAATAAAGAAATGAATGCGGTGTTCAAGGTTTACAAACTTCCATAGAATAGACTTTGTGGTATGTGCCTGCACAATAAGCCATGTGTACTGGCAGCGTAGAGAAATGACAGGGTGAGTTAAGACAGTCAGGTCAGATGACCAACCTCTGTTCATCACTGGCACCAGAGCGGCTAGACCGATGCTCCAGGCTCTGAGCCTTAGGATGGCTGCTGCCTTACTCACTGGATACATTCCCAAGTCTCCCAGCTCTCTTTTTATTTGCTCTTCTGCTCCGATTGTCCGCTTTACCTCCTGTAATCACTCCCCCCTCCTCCCCAAATGGATGTTTGGTTTGCAATTTCCCAACACATAATAAGTGAGCTCCTCCAAAGTAAATACACACTTTCAGATAGAGAAATTAAAAATACCCAAGGATTATCTTATGAAATGCAGAGTAATTCTTCTGAGGGGGAGAGGGTTTGTTTTTAGATCTAAGATTATGGACATGCTCTAAAGTGCACGTACAGTTAACTCTTTATTATACACTGGTGTACTGCATTAGTTCAGTACGTTCTTCCCAACATCTTCAGTAAGATTTATCTTTTAATAAACTACAGTCTCTCTCACTATTTACCTAGCTAAGCCCCATGACACTCATTGAGTATCTTGCCTAATGACAAGCAAAGCATCATAGGCGTTGTGATTTTAGCCATAAAACTACTTATTCACCTCAATTTAATGAATATACCTTATGTTCGCTAGATACAATCAATGCACAAATGTACGTTTCTCCAACTATACTACAGTCCAAATGACCATCCTACACGTCAGGATCTGCCTGACTAATCCTGTGAACTGTTGTTCAATACATAACATGTATATTGATAAAATAGAGGATTCATTGGGAATTAGTTGCAGCTGGTGAAGAAATAGATTCCACAGCAGAATTTGACCATGCCCCATAACTTGATGGGCTCTAACCCAACAAGATGTCCTGCTCTGTCGTACACCATAAAACTATGGACACATGCATTAGGGAAACAACAACCACTTTATAGAGTTCAAATTCCCCCATGAAGCGGTTTGTTACCCAATGACAGCCCTAGAAAACACGACTATACATAGGCCCAATCTTTTAGGGCATTCAAAATCAGTTTGGGTTTAGACTCCTCATACATGCTTAGCCTGCTGTAATGGGATTTTTTTATGGTATAGCCATACTAGGATACCAGAAATCCTGTTACAGCAGGCTAAGCATGTATGAGGAGTCTAAATCCAAAACTGATTTTCACAAATGTCCCAAAATCTCGACATGCTTATGAGTTGAGCTGTTTTTTCGGCACTACCAAATATCAAACGGGGGGGGTGATGGGGGCGTGGGGGGGAGGAGCTAATAATGACAAACATACCTTGTACTTACTACACCCTTAGAATTTTTTTTTACTCTAACTGCAACAAAAACTGGGGTTAGAATGATCCTATCTGTCGATATGGACCAGTCTCCACTGTTAGGAAATATCTTCTGCGAGTTGACTGTCCTACGTATTCACAACTTCTCTGGTGACTTCTATTACATAGTAAGCAATTAAAAAAATACTTCCTCTCTACCAGACATGCAGGTACAATTTAAAGTTCACTTGTAACTGCCAACAGAATGGGAACAATAAAATAGAGAGAATTTTAGACAAAACTTAGTTGTTGACAACTAAACAGTGCACTCAGGAAAGTAATAAAAAATAAAATATAAAAACCTACATGCAGGCTTATGTGGGATATTCAAAACCATCTGATATGGCTGAATTACAGAGAAAGATCTTGGATGCAATAATTACTGGAGGCTAATATTCTGGGTCCAAAATTTTATTACACCATTTTCAAGCAGTTTGAAAGGCCTTCTGCTACAACCATGATAGTAAGGAAGTTTTGCTCAGTGACATACATCACCCATAGCTGGTAATGCAATTTGACATCTCTAATATAGAACATGCCCAGGCAGAAACAAAAAGACAGTTGTTTTTACGTTATGTGAGGTTTAGTGGAAAAGAAAATCATCATTATCATACACGTATTTTTATCTGGGATTGTGCCAGCCAAATCAATGCTTTGGTCAACAGTCTACTACCAGACTTGTGCTTGGGAAAAAATGAGCGTGGAAATTGAGAACGCTGTCTGTGTTTGTTGTCCATGTTGGCCATGTTCTGATAACTACACTATGGTATACAATTGCAGGTTATAATTGAACCATAGTGCAGTAATTCAATATGAAAACCAAAACAATGATCAATTTCATATACCATGTAAACAAGCATTAGGTCAGGAACATACACAAATCTGAAAATGCTTTGTGATGAAAGTATTTAATCTATAAGAAGCACTCCAACCACCATAACCACTACAGCTTGTTGTACTTTTTTTATTTTATTTTTTTGCAGTGCATATGGGTGTTACAAACATGCATGTGGTACCTCAACGGCATTCCACTTGCTTATTCCAGAACAGTTATAACAGTGGGGCATATGGTAACAGTGCACAATTTTATATTTAAATAGAAGGTTGTCATATTTTGAACATGTTTTACATTTCTGGTATTGGTTAATGCAAACAGGCTTATCGCAGGCTTCCATTCTCACCTGTATGTGAGAGGGTATATTTATGTTTATACTTCTAATGTCTAGTTATGTCACACACAGGCTAGGCGGATAGACATGCAGCATAAGGTACTCCCAGAGTTGTGGGTCAATAGTTGATTTTATATCGCTTTTTCGTTTAGGGGTAGCAGCACGTCTAGATAATGGAGAGTACCTTTCAAGATAAGTGTACGTGTCTATGCGTTAGGTCTGCGGTGTGGAGTGTCTAAAATATACCGATTAGC